TGGGTTGTATTCCAAAATTTGTGGGTCGACCCGGAACCGACCTGGAACCCGTAGCGGGCCGTTACAGGGCTCATATGTTGGCGGGCTGACCTGACTCGAACCACCCAGATTGACACCTCTATCATTACTCATATCACTTAACTTCTTTACAATCGAGATTCTTGGATCATGGAATGTGATAAGATTACCCATTAACTATTTCAATAACCTTCTTCCGAATAGTAACCCAACACTATATTCGCCCAAATCTTGGGCGTCTCACAGGCTTAGCGATGACAGGCTCGCTCAAATATTGGGTGTCTAGTAGGTTTGAGCGAGGATACACATCCATTACATAACTTCATCTTAGGTTTTATATGGTCTCATTTGGGTCCATCTTTCGAATTTCTTAACTGGACTTCGTTCTTTGGACCATTTAATTGGGCTTCATTTTTTGTATGTCAACAAGTTGTGATGCTCAATTTGATCTTGATTTGTCAACCTAACTTCAAAATTAATTCAACATAATCCACCAATGTAACCCATCCAAAAATACATAACAATGTACATAACTGTTGTGCTTAAAAAAAATATGACCTCACATTAACAAGATCAAATAAGCAAAAAATAGCATCTCCTAATCACGATTTATTTATGATAAACAACTCCAAATACTAATCAATTAGTCTGTAAGATTATCCAACTCACACAAACATGCTTAAAATGATAAAATATTTTNNNNCATGCTTAAAATGATAAAATATTTTTTAAATTTCTTTCAATTGGCCGACAAGGCTATCCAAAATTTTCAATTTTTTATTTTATTTTATTTTATGATAAATCACACACACAAGCAAATAACAAAGTTATTCCACCCTCAAATTTAAAGTATAACTCGTATAACCTTGATACACATATTCTATAAAACTCGTGTATCTCTGGACCCAACCGCTTAGGGGTTGGGTGGTTCCTTAGCTTAAAGTACCAGCACAATAAAAAGTTTCTAAACCAACCTACTAACCCTTTAAACAAGAGGGTGACAGTTGGAGCCCTTCCCTTCCAAGAAAGGAATCCAAATAAACTGTCATCTGCACTCTTCCTAGAGCCATTAACAACCACCACATTAATTCACTCCAATTAAACAATTCCCCAATTTTCTCTGCAAAAATCCCTTGCAAAAAATGGATATCAAGATTTTCTTGATTTCATTCATTCTAACTTCGCTCATTTTATCCCTTGTTCACATGCCCACAAAGTTAATACACCCCATCACCATTTTCAGACAAAGCAAAACCTTAATAATCCCAAAAAACAGCACTCAATATCCAGTCACTTTTGCCTACTTGATCTCAGCATCCGGTGGAGATACTATGAAGCTAAAACGCCTAATGCTCGCACTTTACCACCCTGGGAATTTTTACCTTATTCATTTGGACAATGGTGCCCCTCAGGTTGAGCATCAAGAAATTTCAAGATTTGTGTCAAGTAATCCTGTTTTTAGTGAAATTGGGAATGTTTGGGTTGTGAAGAAGGGTAACTTAGTCACTTACAGAGGCCCTACTATGCTTGCTACAACTCTACATGCAATGTCTATGCTTTTGAGGACTGCAAATTGGGATTGGTTCATTAATCTCAGTGCTTCTGATTATCCATTAATAACTCAAGATGGTAAGGTGAGTGCCCTTTTTCTTGTTTTCAATTTTGGGATTTTTTTTTCCTCAAGAAAATGTTGTATAATTTGTGTTTGTCTTTTTTCATGTTTTTCCAGATCTGATCCATGCCTTTTCTGACCTGCCTAGAGATCTAAATTTTGTACAGCACAGCAGCCGCTTGGGCTGGAAAATGTAAGACAACGTGAACATTATTTACCCATCATCTTCAATGTGTTAATTATGGAATAAAGTTGTTATTAGTGAAATCCCATAACAATCATATATTCATAAATGTGTGTGGATTATGCTATAAAGTTTTTATTATTGAAATATTATTTTTGAAATCCTATAACAATCCACATATCTGATCACCTGCTCACAGTGAGCTACAATTTTTTTACTGTTACGTGACAAGAGAACCTTATGAATTTTTGCAACGATTATACATTCAATCAGATGACTATACTTACGGTTCTTTCTGTCATATCAGTAATTAAAAGTTTTTATCTTATTCATTGAGGACGGGATCAATTCTATAACAATCTATTATCAATATGGCTCATTGTATTAGCGATATGATTTCTTAGGTACGGTAAACAAACTATACAGCACTATCTAATTGCGTTCAATAGAGTAAACTAGTTTTTTTTTTTTTTTGGGAAACTCATATCAATAGTTGGTGCATTTTTTGCAGGAACAAAAGAGGAAAACCAATCATAATAGACCCTGGTTTGTACAGTGTAAATAAATCAGAGATTTGGTGGGTTATCAAGCAAAGAAGTCTGCCTACTGCTTTTAAGCTTTATACAGGTACTGCCTATTGCTGTCTGAAAATTTATAAATATAGCAATTAAAACAATAATTGCCATCTCCAATTCAATATACTATACTATAGTTGTGAGCTTGTGTCGTTTAATGATGAAAATTTTTAATATTATATTTTAGGTTCGTAATCTTTTGTTCGGGATTAATACATGGACTAACGAAAAACCCCATAGTTTGTATGAGTTATTTTATCGGTTCTTATCTAAAAAAAGAACTTCTTGATAACCGAAAATATTACATTAATTGAAGTTGCTCCCATCCACAATAGACGTTCTCTTGTCACATCAGCAGTAAGAATTTTTTATCATGCTCATCAGGTCAAGGAGATCAGGACTAGTACATTAATATTCAACTTTAATATCATGGATCTTATTTTCTTAATATAATATTGACTAGTAACTTTCAAAGTTTAAAATATAAAGAAATTCATAATTTAATCCCACCGTAATCACGAGATTAGACAAATGATAATTAAATTCTTCCCAGAGAATTTCGAGAGAGCTAGACTTAACGTGTGTTTTATTATTTATATATATATATATAT